TTACAACAATTGATGTGTTACACTCATGCTCTGAGCTGTTCTCAAAGTATTCAACAATAGGACACAGCCAGAGTTGAACCCTTTTCCCGCGAGAATTTTGGGTGCTGTTTCGTTTTTGCCTCATTTAATCTACATAACTGCCTGATTCAGTCCACATCGCCGATGCAGTAGGATGGAGCATGTAGCTGCAGAGCAGCCAATGCATTTGATAGCACGAGAAGGGGGGAGCAGGTGAGGGACGAGGATTTTTGGCAAAGCTGAGCTCAGTGGAAGAATTTTTGGTGGTGGACGAACAACGACGGTAGCGTAGTTAAGGGACCATTCGCCTACCTCGGTGCCAGCGTGCTTGGGGAGCACTCGTCTTCACCTCCGTAACCCCCCTTCTAATCAGGGTTTGTCAGAACTATGTCTTCCCTGCGGGACTATCTCTCGGTAACTCGAGTCGTCTGCACTCTAGCCTGCGCCTCTATGGGGAAGGGTTACAGAGGCGCGGTCAAATGTTCACCCTACCAACTACGTTAAGGTCCCCTCCCCATTATGCGAAAACGATTTATTCGAATTACTGCACCAACACCTCCCCACTTCATAAGATAGCGCCCTACCCTTCCTTGCTAAATAGCTGCAGCGCGTCTATGCGGTGTAAAGCCTGCAGTCGAATAAAATTGTTCAGGAGTTACTGCTTCGAAAGCGATTTACCAGCTGTATGATTAGCTATGCGGCACTTTTTGACACCAACGATCGAAAGAGGCCCACGGAACTTTCGAATAAGAAGCGAGCGGACGCGTCGTGGCTGGTAGTGGAAAATCAGCGCGATTCTAAATAACATCTAAAGCGATTTAGAATCACTGGTATAATGAACTGCTGCGACAAGACCGCCAAGAAACAACTAAGCAAAAAGCAGTAAAAACATCCGCACTTCTCCGCGCGCTCAACTTCACCATTAACACTTCACCATAGTCAGTACACTCACGTAGTTTGAGGGGGCCAGGCGGCGACTAGGGTCAGCCGC